CTTTGAGATGGAGTTTTGCTCTTGTTGCCCAGGCTGGAGTGCAGTGGTGTGATCTCAGCTCACCGCAACATCCACCTTCCCAGTTCAAGGGATTCTCCTGCCTCAGCCTCCTGAGTAGCTGTGATTACAGGTATGTACCACCACACCCAGCTAATTTGTATTTTTAGTAGAGACGGGGTTTCTCCATGTTGGTCAGGCTAGTCTCAAACTCCTGACCTCAAGTGATCTGCCTACCTTGGCCTCCCAAAGTGCTGGGATTACAGGCATGAGCCATCATGCCCAACCTCATTTTCATTTTTTAGAGACAGGGTCTCACTCTGTCACCCAGGCTGGAGTGCAGTCATGCATCATAGCTCACTGCAGCCTCAAACTCCTGGGCTCAAGCGATCCTTCTGCCTCAACTTCCCAAATAACTAGAATTACAGGTGCACACTACCATGCCCAGCTAAGAATTTTTGTGTTTTAATTTATTTTATTTATTTAGTAGAGATGGGGGATCTCACTTAGTTACTTAGTAAATATGGGGTCTCACTTTGTTGCTCAGGCTGGTCTCAAACTTTTGGTTTCAAGCAGTCCTCCCACCTCAGCCTCCCCAGTAGTTCTACAGGCATGTAACACCACGCCTGGCTAATTTTTGTATTTTTTATAGAGATGGGGTTTTGTCATGTTGCCCATGCTGGTCTCGAATTCATGAACTCAAGAGATCCACCCACCTCAGCCTCCCAAAGTCCTGGGATTGCAGGTGTGAGCCACTGTGCCAGCCTCTGGTTTCCTCTTAACTTAGGTAATTCTTTCTCTGCCTCTGTCATATATTCCTCTTCTTCTGCTTTCCCTTTCCATCAGTGGATCTCAAATTTTAAGGCACACTTAAAAAGTACTTGAGACAGTTCAAAAATGTAGATTCCCAAATCTACCAAGAGATTGTAATTCATCAACCTTGGATGAGTCCCAGGAACCTATATGCTTTTAATAAGCAACCCATGTAATTTTAACACAGGCAATAACTGAGGTCATACATTCAGTAACACTGCCTTAAATGATTGTGTTTCCCAGCATTAGGGATTTGACCCAATTGTCTTCCACTCTAAATCTGGAGTCCTTAACCACAGATCTTGGAGGATTAGTGAAATATATCCCCCCTAATTGTACATATACTCTGTGTATATGTGACATGCATGCATTTTTCTGAAGAGAGATAGCCATAGCTTTTTTCAACTTTTAACGCTTATAAAAAGGTTAGAAATCACTCCTCTACCCACTCTTCCTACTGGATCTCACCCACACACACAGAATTAACCACCTGCTATTCACATCTCCATGACTTGTTCTACATCACTGGCCCAGAATTCTCTCCAACTCTCATATCTAACTGTCTAATGCTTTTGTCTTTGGAGGCTCCATATGCACCATCAACTCAACTTGTACAAAATTAAACACATCATCTGCACTCCAACAACTAAATGTGCACCTAATATCACCAGACACGCAGTCATCTGGAAAGTCTGAGTTGTCCTCGACTCCTCCCTCTTCCTCACTCTCCTCTCCCTACCTGCTGCACTGACCTAGTTTAGGCCTTCACTTCTCAGATGCAGTATCTTCTTAGCTGACCTCTCTGCCTCATCCACTAACTCCAATACACCATTCCCTCTCCTCTATGACATTCCCTACCAGCTCATCACCTCAGTGTAAGATGGAAACCACACTGATGTACAAGGTCTGTCATGATCTGACCCAGATCTGACTGCACTCCCAGGGGTAAACCATGCCCCATGACTCTGTTTCCCCAAAACCCTCGTTCTTCTACCTCCCAGATTTGAAATGCCCTGTACTCTCTGCGGGCCTTTTAACAGGGTCTGTAGCGTTCTCTGTGGCACCCCAGTGCCTGGCACAGTGCCCTCCCCTGAAAGGCCTAAAGCTTGCTGAGCGGCTGGCAGAGTGATTGAGTGACAGGAAAATTTAGGAGTTAGGAAAGGGGCCTCAGGCGGTCGCACCGATGCCCCTCACCAGCTGCCGGTCGGCCACGGTCCTGTCAGGCACGAGGCTGTACACCTGGCTTCTCAGCGCGATGGGCGGCAGCGCGTCCTCAAACAGGCCTCGCGGGAACAGCTGCATGAGCTCTGAGACAGCCGCGCGCGCCGACCCTGGGCAGAGAAACCGGGTCACTGACAGGGAACTGGGGCGGGGACGCTGTTCTCAGAAAACTCTCGGCCACCGGAAGAGAGGCCCCGCCCAGCTGGGGTCTTTAGCCCCGCCCCGGGGTTGCCATGGTTACCTAGTTCTCCCCGCAGAGGATCCGACTCCACAGGCCCTTGTTTCCGCCGCCTCTTAAGTCCAGTGGTCTCCGGGACCAGGCGATGCCTCTTCCGGCTCATATCCCGGGATTTTATGATGCCAGGGAAGAGGTAGGGGTAGAGGGACGATAACCTGAAAATAGGGTCTTCCGGCGCAGAGCAGTGACGTACGGCCTCCCCGGGCGTCCCTCCTAGGAGACCAGGTGACACCCCCCCCGCGTAAGTACCAAGACGTGATGACGAAAGGGGCGTCAACTTGTCATCCCTCAGGCCCGTGCTGGAAGGGGTGGTGCCGACGCATATACCAGCACCACCTCCGCCGGGCCGGGCCCCACGCCTGCAGCGGATTGGGTCCCTCCAAGAGCACGCACGCCCTGGGACTCGTGGGCGGCGTGGAGGGGCGCCGGTGGCCACGTTGGGATCAACCCCCTGCGAGAAGCTCATACCTCCCCCGCTCCGCGAAGAGTCTACCCGCCACTGTCGCTGAATGATTGCATCATCGAAAGCAGAAAAACCACTTTTGCATCCTTCGGCCTCTGTGACGTCACAGCCCTGCGGAAGTGCAAGTTGGGCAGGCTTTGAGGTAACCAGATTCTTGATCTGAGCGCAGACGTCCTTCCTAACCTCACTGCAGGAGAACCTGAAGGGTGGGTGGGTAAAGGGCAAGGAAAGAGGCAGGATGAGAGCTTGGCCTAGGTGCCGTCTGAGGGGCCTGCATGTTTCAAGGCGAGACTGGAGATCAGGTGGCTCGCTTAGTCCTAAACCACATTCACCCTTCTCCAGGCCTCCTCTGTAAAATGGAAACTCTTTCCCCCTGCCTCCCGTAGGACTTCATGGAGCCCAGGGGGACCAAGAGAGAAGCTGGGAAGACAGAGGTAGCTGAGCCTCGGAACAAACTACCCCGTCCAGCACCTTCTCTGCCAACAGACCCTGCCCTCTACTCTGGGCCCTTTCCTTTCTACCGGCGCCCTTCGGAACTGGGCTGCTTCTCCCTGGATGCTCAACGTCAGTACCATGGAGATGCCCGAGCCCTGCGCTACTACAGCCCACCCCCCACCAATGGTCCAGGCCCCAACTTTGACCTCAGAGACGGATACCTGGATCGATACCAGCCCCGGGACGAGGAGGTCCAAGAAAGGCTGGACCACCTGCTGTGCTGGCTTCTGGAACACCGAGGCCAGTTGGAGGGGTGAGCAAAGCATAGCAGGCAGTAGATCTGGAGACATAAATCTGCCCTCTAAAATTAGGAGAGCCAAAGCTGGGGTGAAAATGACTCCTTAGAAAAAACTTAGGCAATCCTTGGGGGGGAGCATCTCACTAATGCTTGAGTCAGAACTTCAGGCTGTAACTCTCTCTCAGGGGTCCAGGCTGGCTGGCAGGGGCCATAGTGACGTGGCGGGGGCACCTGACAAAATTGTTGACGACACCATATGAGCGGCAGGAGGGCTGGCAGCTAGCAGCCTCCCGGTTCCAGGGAACACTGTACCTGAGTGAGGTGGAGACACCGGCCGCTCGGGCTCAGAGGCTTGCTCGCCCGCCGCTCCTCCGGGAGCTTATGTACATGGGATACAAATTCGAGCAGTACATGTGTGCAGGTGAGTTGCCCCTGCTTCATAGCCCCTTTCCCCTTCCCAGAGATTGAGAGCCCCCCACCCCTGCTGCTGCTTCTCTCCTTATGCAGACAAACCTGGAAGCTCCCCAGACCCCTCTGGGGAGGTTAACACCAACGTCGCCTTCTGCTCTGTGCTACGCAGCCGCCTGGGAAGCCACCCTCTGCTCTTCTCAGGGGAGGTAGACTGCACAGACCCCCAGGCCCCATCCACACAGCCCCCCACCTGCTATGTGGAACTCAAGACCTCCAAGGAGATGCACAGCCCTGGCCAATGGAGGAGCTTCTACAGGTTCAGGATAGGGGTGGGCAGGGTGAAAGCCTAGACTTGAAGGCTGGGAAAGGGACTTGGAGAGGAGGGTGAAGGCAGAATGGATGGTAGACAAGGGGTGCCACTGACCCCTTGCTTTTCCTGACAGACACAAGCTCCTGAAATGGTGGGCTCAGTCATTCCTTCCAGGGGTCCCGAATGTTGTTGCTGGCTTCCGTAACCCAGAGGGTTTTGTCTCTTCTCTCAAGACCTTTCCTACCATGGAGATGTTTGAATACGTTAGGGTAAGGGAATGGTGTTGCAGCTCCCATCGTATCCCCAAACACCAAGACCACAGGTCTAACGTCCAGGGCAGCAGCCTGCCTTCCCCTCCTCCCACCACCGCGACTGCCAGTCTTATGCCTCCTTTTCTGCCTCTTCCAGAATGACCGTGACGGCTGGAATCCCTCTGTGTGCATGAACTTCTGTGCTGCATTCCTTAGCTTTGCCCAGAGCACAGTTGTCCAGGATGACCCCAGGTGAGGCATTCAGCTGTCCCTCCCCTCTGGATCACAGGATCCGGCCTCCAGCCCTTAACTGATGCCTCCATCTGCCCCCCAGACTCGTTCACCTCTTCTCTTGGGAGCCTGGCGGCCCAGTCACCGTGTCTGTACACCGAGATGCACCCTATGCCTTCCTGCCCATATGGTATGTGGAAGCCATGACTCAGGACCTCCCATCACCCCCCAAGACTCCCTCCCCCAAATAGTGATGCTTTAGAGGGGGGCAGTGATATCTCTGTGCGGATAATAAAAGCATATTTCTAAGAGGTTCTCCTGCTATGTCTTCTTAGCTGAGTCATCCCTGCCCAACAAGTCAAGCACACACAGTGGTTTACTGTTTTATCATCACATTTTTACATGGGGCATTCACTGGGTGTAAAGGCTGGCCGCAAAGACAATGTCCCGCCGTAGCAGGGTAGCCGCTGTCTCCATCTTGGCACCCAGGACAGGCTCTCCTACCAGGCGGGCAGCCCCCCGCAGTGAGCGACACATCTCCGCCAGGCGCTGAATGCAGCGGACAATGAGGCCCTCGGGAGTCCCTGAGAGCCCTGCCAACTCGGAGAAGGGCTGTGGGGAAAGCAGGGTGAGGACCGGATGTGCCCACCCTGGGCAGGCTCTCCCCAGCCAGCCATCTGCAAAATCCCAAACCCCAGGTACTCACCATGCCCCGGGCCCACTCATACACAACCTCGACCAGACCAAAATTCAGCTCCCCAACAAATTCCTCCACTGTCTGGTTCAGGCCACAAGCCACCTGGACCTCACCAATCCGCTTGGCCACAGCCCGGACACGTTCTATTCCCTGCAGAGATGAAGGAAAGGTTAAGGCCTGCCTTCCTGCTCCAGGACAGGGAAGGAACAGATCAAGGAGGCAGCTATGCCCACCCCTGGGGCACTTACAGGGCTAGAGGGCGTCACCTGGGAGACTACCTGAGGGTAGAGGAAGGGAATGCCACAGCCCTGGCAGGGAGAAAGGGCTGGTGTCCCCTACCTGCTTGAGGGTGTTTGGGAGCTGATCCCCAGCATCCCCAGGGCTCTGGCAGACCAGGCCAGAAAGCAAGGCAGCAATCTCCTCAGGCCGCAAGGTACTTAGTGCATTGTCAAACATGAGCTCAGTGAGAAGCAACTCATGGCTGCTCATGGCACAAGCCACCCGCCCTGCCAGTTTCACGGTGCCCGCCTCATCCACGTAACCCAGGGTTCGGAGCACCTGCAAGAAAAAGGGTGGGTGTTGGACAACTTGCTGTCCCCGCCTCCCCAGCCCCCTGCCCCAACCACTGACCCACCCACCTCTACTCGCTGGTGGTACTCAGGAAGCAGCAGCAGTGACTGATCCGACAGTAGGAAGCGCAGCCGCTCCATCTCCCTCTGTATCTGCATTCGCTCCCGCAGCTTTAGGTACTGCAGAGAGCCACCCATCAGCCTTCTCCTGCCCCTTAGCAGGGGTGCACTGAGGACAAGGGCTGAGAGGGGGGTGGCTGGTCTACAGGGGACCAGAGAGAACAAGCCCCCACTCCCAGCTTGGGAGTTAGCACCCGGGCCCTACCTGGGCAGGAAAACGGGGGCTGTGTACACACTGAGCCCCCCGGATCAGCTCCTCCAGCTTCCGGGCCCGGAGCCCACCCTCTACAACTGACACATCTTTGAGCTGCAGGTCATTGACAGGGTCGAGGGTTGGGGGTCCAGCTGGGTGGGCCTGAGCCAGACGCAACAGTTCCTGGACAGCAGTGGTCACGGCTGCAAGGGGAGGATCCTTCCTGAAGAGGGAACAGATCTTAAGATCTGGAGTAAGATCTTCTCTCCCACAGAATCCCCCCTCAGGCTGTGGGAGCCCTCCTACTACAACCCCCACACCATGGTCTCCCTCAGGCTGGGGGAAACTCCCAGACCACTGCCCTACCCGCTCTACATGCCCCTCCCGAATGCTAAAGGGCCTCCTTAGCATCTCTGACTTGAATTTTAGCTGCTGCCTCTTGCTGAAGTCCTCCAAGATCTTCTCCCCATTCACCCGGAGCACCTTGGTGGTGATGGCAGCTATATCTCCTGGCTGAAGCTTGATCACGGTGTGGTCACAGGGCCCTGTGAAAAGGAGAGAGGAGAGCAGACCTTTCCACAGACCCAGGCATCCTGCTTATACTGCTGGCAGAAAGCAGGCATCTGCCACACTCTCACCTTCAGGCAGGAACAGCTTGAATCCCACAAGGTCATCTGGATAGGGCACATCTGGAGTGGCCGGCCCCCTGTCCTGTGGGTCCTTGGACAAGGGCTTATCACACAAGACCAGGGTTGTGAATACTCTGCTGGTGGAGTTCGAGGAGACCTGGGGGAGGTCAGAGAGACCAGGAGAGGGGGGCGTGAGGAGTAGACATCAAAGGTAGAGACCAGATACCCACTCTTGGGCAGGAATCAGGCAGCAACCATGCAGAGCTCACCAGTAGGGAGGGGTGACCAAGTCAAGCGATCAGAGCAGACTTCTTGGGGGGTGGGAGGAAGGAGTGAGCATGATGTTGTGGTCATGGAAAGGGAGGGGGTGAAAAGGAAGGCAAGCGGGTGAAATGAAGGCCCTGTTGTGATGCAGCCTGCCCCCTGGCCAAGTAGGGAAATGGAGAGAGGGCTTGCTCCCTCCCACGCTCTGGGGTCCAAATTCCCATCACCCTTACCTGTAGGATCACTCCCAGTGCATTGTGATGCTCCTGATTCTTCACGACCACCACCCTTCCTGCTGAGAGAGACTTCAGCCCATTCACAGACTCCATGATGTGCCGCTGAAGAGCAGGGATGCACGAAAAGGACAGATGGGAGGCGGCATCACGGGGACAGATACTTGGACTAAGTTTAGCCGAAGCTAGAATGACACAATGTCTTCCTCCCTTCTCCTTTCACCTCCTCAACACACAGTTGCTCACCTGGATCATGTGCTGGGTCTCTGTCAGTTCCTCCCCCCAGCTGTAATATTCAGGCAGGTCAACCAGTTGGCCAGTCACATCAGGCTCCTCCAAAGCTCCCAGCCTCTTGGTCAGTTCGGCCAGGGATTGTTCATGGGCCTTG